TTCGTCAAGTCAGAGAATGTCTTGTACTAATTGATACAAATACTAGGTGTTCTCTGAATGGCTGCTGTGCCAAGCAAGCAACTCCCTGTGTTTTCACAGAAGAGGGAAAGCTGTTCAGCACTGAAAAATACCAGGACCTGGAAGATTACTGTGAAGTACTCTAGTAGCTCCAGGACTACAGTGCTTTATAGGAACCCCAAGAGGACAGGGGGGAGTGTGACTGTCCGGTGTTAAAACTGAAAAGAATTTGGTCTGCATTCAAAAATAAATGAATAATACAAAGAGACTCCCCACTAGAGATGAGAGAAATTGAGAGTTATTATTTCCTCCAAAATTTCAGTGAAAATTAGGAGATTTTGACACAATTTGGCAATGTTCATGAAATGCATTGAAGCCAAGAGCAAAGGGCAAATTTTTTAGCAGCAGCAGACTTAAAATGGTTCTGAGGGTTACAGAAGCTCCTTTCAGCTATCCTGGACATATTCTTCTGCCAAAAATACTCTAATAGACTCATTAAATTATGCTTTGTTCTCACACAAAAAAAGACAACAAAAAAAGGGAAAAAAATGAACTTGAAAGGACACTGAACTAAATAAACTAAACTACCCACAATACACATCCCTTTAATAAAAAAAAAAACCCTTTAGATAAACATGCAGATTTTTTTTTCAAGCATATCCCTTCTATGCAACTCATTCAGCAAAACTGAAAATGTTGGTTTGGCAAAATTTTGTCGAACCACACGACTCGTTCTTACTCCCCATTAGCAATAAGAATTTTTGCACAATGGGAAAAAAGGATTTTATCAGATATCAAAAGTTACAAAGGACAAAACATGACATAGTTTGGAGATACTGAACACTGAGGGGTTCCTTTATAAAAAATGAACTTCCTATACATGTCAGCGCCATCTAGGGGCGCAAGTGCTGTACAAACTGCATCCACTTGGCTATACGCTGGGTGGAACTTTTATGAATGTACCCCATGAGTGTAGCTATATTGCGTTTATGGCTGAATACTTACTAAAACATGAAATGACTCGTTAAATAGAACTTATAAAACCTCTTATATATCAGATTGCCCTAACAGTGAAATCAATGGAGAAGAAGTAATACGTGGAAAGGGGCAGTAGTAGGACTGAGGGCTCCTTGTTTTCCCTAGGAGATGAAAGATATGAACAGGAATTTAAGCAATTCTGGAAACCCCTTTTAATTTACACTTCAAGGATGTTGCATAGACTGTATTTGATTAAAGCAGTGTTTATATCATGACACAGAGCCGGTACAGTTGTGCATTTGCAATGACTGCCCAGTACTGTTCGAACCAGATGCGTTGAGTTAAACGAGGTAGTAAGCAGTGTTGGTTTTGAAAGAGACCTGACATGGACACTTGATGGAGGAGCGATAAAGTTAGTTCTGTATCCTTCACGTGTCATGGGGGCCTTTGTGCTGCTTTCTCTTTCACAGGCCCCTAGCAAAAGCTTCCATTGTTTGGAGGAGATGTATGTTCTCCTTTAATCCCTGGGCAAGCTCTCTCTCCCACATCCCTCATAGTGTATTCATCGCCATTCTCCGCTGGCCTCCTCCTCCCGTTCTCGTCTCTGGCGGGCCCTGGGAAACTTGCAGCGCCAATGGGCACCACAAACAAGGATGCCTCTCTTGTTGCCACGGCAACTCCAAGAGGAGTCCAGGAGATTTTGTCCCTCTGCAACTCACACACACTAGCTCAAAGAGTGAAAGGAATGACGTGAGGAATAAACAGAACTTGCAAACAAGAAAAATATCCCTCAATCCCCTCTTTTTCTCCCAGCTCCCTGGCTCTTTTTTTTTTTTTT